GCCTGATAATTGTAAGAGTATAAAGAGGAAAGAACGGACGATATATATGTGTACCATATGTTTGACGCACCGCGAGCCAGACTGCACGTGGGCAGGATCGGCTTTGTAATCGCGGAGGCCGCGAGGAATAATTATACGTGCGATTAGAAGCGTAAGCAATGTAGCAGTAAGTAGCTACAAAGAATTTGCGGTGGCAATAAAGGATCGCGATTGTAAGAGAAACACGTGTCGTTTATCAGCCGTTTTTGGCTGTATCGACTGATAGCAATGTCCAACTGGTTCTCAGGACGTTGATTAGATTATTGAAAAAGAAAGTCATTCAAAAGAAAAAAAATCAATACTATCAATACTTTCTGTCGCTGCTCAAGTGGCGGATAAAAACTTGATAGCACCCGCGCAAAATAGACGACACTCTCAGGATATCGGAATTAAATTACACAATATTTTCCGCAACAAATTAAGAATAAGAACCGTTTAGACATTTAACATCCCGTCACGGCTCTTCAGTCCTTATTTCTTCAAATTTGTGTTTATCACACGAGTCTTACGAAGTTTGTTAATTTGTTAAATTACGTAACGTGCATCTTGGTCTTACGTGTCCGATTCAGGCCTGGTTTTACCAAGTTTACTCTAATCGTAGTTGAATACATGGTTTGTCTCTTGCGAATCTATGACGCGCAGTTGGCAGGAGACAAGCTTGAAGTCGAGCGACGCTCGTGAAACCGGGCCTCGATCTCTGCGAACGCCGCTAAATTTCTGCGCCTTGTCCCCCCCGTCCGCCGTCTGTTAAATCCGAGCCTGTACAACGGCGAGCCGCCGATTAGCCGCGGATCCGCGTCGAGGGACGACGGACGCGCGGGAGAAAGAGAGACGGCGAGAGCGTCGGTGACGTCGCGAGAAAAACACGCGGAAACGCCGGGGCTCTCGAGCGCGGTCTACCTCACCTGCTGGACGGCCTGCTCTCCTCGACGTCCTTGCTGGGCTTCACCTCGCGCTCGTCCTTCGGCGTCTTGTGCTGCGTTATCCTCATGCCGCCCGCCTTGACTGAAAAAAAAGAGAGGCAAGTCGCGCGCGCGGGAGACGCGCGGCGCGGCATTAGGAGTCGAAGGCACGAAAGGCGAGGGGGCCCGACCTTGGGGAAATCGGATCGCGATCGACAGGTGGCAACGCGACGCGGCCGTGAGCCGCGAAAACGCGGCCCTAGCCCGTCTTCCCGCGCAGTTTCCGCAGGGCGGACGGCACGCGGCGGGGAGGGAGGTGATCGCTAACCTGCCGGGGGATGACCGCCCTTCAGCCTGCACTCGTCCGCGCCGCTCGACATCCCGTCGTCCTCGCGTCGATCGCTGCCTCGCGCAAATTCCCGTCGCAATATGCCGCCGTCGATTGCTGCCAGCGCGCGCCAACTCTCTCCCTACGTCGTCGATCCACTGGCGATGATAGCGGCATCCACTTCGTGTGCGTCGCGCCGCCGAACGCGGATAGATAGAGACGGGAGCCGCGGCGTAAGAGGGGGGCGAGAGGCTTGCCACACACATGCCGTTTAGATTCCTCTCGCGGTGCCACGTCTCGAATATTCATACGCGCGGCGGCGAGCAGATGCGCGACAATAACGATTTACGTGTCGACGGAAGATACGGAGGAGTTTCGTCAATTCTTCATTTTCCTACATTATTTTTACGCGACTTCAGCTTACGTTGTCCATTTATTTTAAACGAGACCACTTTTCAGAAAATAAAATACTCGCTTTATATTTTTATGTTAATATATAGTAGAAGGTCGTCTGCAGTGAGATCGGATTCTAATGCGAGATGGGTCTTCAACGTCCAAATTTAGTGACAAATCTTTTTTCGCAGCGATTACACGATCTAACAATGAATTTTCCACCAAACAGATTTCACTCCAAGGGCGATAAATTCATGGTGGGACCAACAGATGTTTATTAATTTAGCAGAAACTCCGCTGTTTTATATTAGAAGCCTATCCCACAATAAGGGACTTTCCTTTATGTATCTAATAATAATTTCTGAAAAGTTCTCCCTCACTTTTTCAGCGACTTGGGCTGCGGTCAAACTGCCGCTATAAGTGCTTCGAAGTGTTCTTCTTTTCCTTTCTTTCAATAAAGATAAAAGGAGAAGAGAAACGCTTCGAAGCATTTGTAGCGGCAGCTTGACCGCAGCCTTGGATTGAAAGTTGAAACAAAGGCAAAATCGTGTTAATGTTTACGTCTGATATTACGTAATTGTGCACGAATAGGCGTCATATTACACAATGGTATTTGATAGAACATCACAGCAAGCGATTGAATTTACGAGTCTCTTATAAATCACACAGATAGAAATAATTTCGTTTTATTGCATAAACGATTAATCTGCACAATGTATATTTAATAATTAAATCTAGGAGGAGGTGCTCGGTAGCGCTGGTTTACTCAGCCTTGTACGCGTAATGCAAGTCCTTGGAATCTTCGTCCGAGATGTGCACCCAGCCGGTGGACTTCATGTGATACACTGCAAAATAAAATGTATTTCTGACGTTTACCAAATGACTTGCTATCGCACAAACTCAACCATGTGTCAAGGTATTTGATTTGCCAATTTAATTTATTTCCAATCTTTTATTCTGTCCCTTCGCTCTGAAAAAGCATATCTGTAATTTCATTTCTCATTCTCGACTTTTTACATCTCTGACCATTTTATACATATTGATGTTGTATCTTGTAATTTAATTTGTAATTACCGACCTCTTATTATGCCGCCGGAATAGGCGTCTCTGTGCGTGGCATGGTAGATCGACCGTCTTCCAAGTTCGTAGGCCTCTTCGTCGGTTAAATCCCAGCGGTAACCGGAATCCAGGACACCGAAGGCAAAGACGGATCCGGAGCCTACGCTGAAAACCTTCCCCGGGGTACGAGTGCCCTCGGAATCGACGTAGTAAAGTCCAGGGCCGCGTTTGTCCCAGCCAGCCAGCATCATACCTGCGAGATTGCGTACATTGCGTATCCCGTGACTGAATTCCAACGTCAACGGTTTTCACTTAATGCAATGCTCGAAATTAGTTGCCCTCGATATCGATCAAGACTCGCGAGGTCGAGTGTAGTGGGAAGACAGGAGGCGTTGCGTTCGGAATCGGGCCAGGAAGGGCAACTAATTTCGAACGCTGATCCAATGTCTCACCGATACTCAGGCCCATTCCTTTGAAATTGTAGATCATATTCGACAGGAGTTTACTCGCCGCCGCGATGGAGATGCGCTCTCTATTTCTGAGCTCGTACATGCGGCACTGCCTCGCCAAGACTCGATCCCAGTAGACGCAGTCGGCGGCGCCACCGGCCAAAGTACCAAGAAGATAGTCGTTGATCTCCACGATCTTCTTCATGGTGGACGAACCTGAGGAGCGAGGTAAGAGTTGATCGGTTCTCAGTACTTGTATAATTTATTAGATAGTAATGTACAATGCGCTCTTTACCAATGAACTGCCCTCCCGTCGCACGCGAATCCACCGCCAGGATGATACCACCTTGATATCGGAAGCCCAAGGTCGTGGTTCCATGATCGAACTTGATCTTGAGGTTCTTTCCGGTTTCGTCGGTACCTTGAGCTATGCGGCCAAGAGTTTCGGCTGGCTATAACGTAAAGAGAGATCCATGTAAAGCAATTGTTGAGCTCATCAAAATGAAATGTGAGCCTTTAACACGGCGTACATACAAAATATATTTCCGCAAAGTTTACCTCGTGCCATCCAACTTAACTGACTCGGGTCCAGTTTCACCAATGTCGCTTGACTTTAAGTTTAGCTTAATTCGTTGTTTCTTTCCAACTGTTACTCTAGAAAGAGACAAACGTGAATTATACTAGGATTAAAGTTAAGCAACATTTGGTGAAATCGGACCTTGTGGAATGACTATTCTCAATTTCATGTAAGAATAACCTAGAAATGCCCGATTGTGCATTGGACAGAAATCGTGCGGGACGTTGAAAGAATTGAATTATTATCGATGTCAGTATCGTTGTTAATGCCTGCTACGCGATTGTCCACGTCAATTCGGCAAATTGTAACTGTAGTTGGCGAAATACGGTGCGCTCTGCATGATGCTGCAAGTTTGACTTGCGATCACTGTCGCGCGCTTACATTGACGAACGGCGGCACCGCCAGTTGCAGGTTGTTGGCGAAATTTTTGGTGTACGCCTCAATCTCGCCGGCGATCTTGTCCTTTTCCCGCGAGTAGCCGAAATCGACGGTGGAGTTGATGCCACAAACCTCGGCGAGCGCCATTTCTATCGGAGTGTTGACCGTCGACTGCTTGTCATCGCCTCAATTCCGGCGGCTCCCGGTAGAAGGCGCTCGCGTCCGAGGGCGCGCGATCGAAGGGGGAGATCGAACCGCCGAAGATCCGCGCAGGATTTGGAATGCCCGGCTCATCCAAAAGGCTCGGCTCGGCGATTTTAGCTTGTTGTAACCCCAACGTATAACAATATCTGTTTAAAACGACTTTATTAAATAATTGTTACTGTCGATGCAACGAATACTTAGAGGTGTGACATTTTTATGTTATCTTGTACGCCAAATATTGCCAAATGTCCCAGGAACGTTTTTAATGTCATTTCTTTACATTTTGGAGTCCCCAATTTCGTTTTAACACGCTTTTAAAACGCAAAATGATCCTCAACACGCAAAATAGCGAACGTTAAGAATCGCAATTTTCCTTAGTAAACGTTTCTAACGTCACTTTTTTTAGACACGTTACTGCTTTTATAGCCTGAAAATGATGTGTAATTTCAGTAATGTGTTCCATACTATATTTTAATATGTTATGTTTTATGTAACATTTTTTAACATATATTTAGCCTTAATAAATGTCGTAAATTGTTCCATCAAAACATTAAGGCCCGGTTGCACCAACGTTGTTTAGCTTTAAGCTTGGCTTAATTCGTTCTTTGCCTTCTAAAGTAACAGTTGGAAAAAGACAAAGAACGAATAAAAGTTGGTAAGGCCGGGCCTAAGTCGTCTTATTGAAGCCCTGCCCATTTCTGACCTCGGCATTATCAAAAACATTATCAAAATAAGTAATGCAAAATCCGGAAAAACAAAACGCAAAAGATGCCGAAAAATGACATCAAAATGTCACACCTCTACGAATACTTCTTACACTTTCTCGAGTGGTATAGTATATCCTACGATCGTCTGAAAATCGCGCGTATGTCGGTCGCAATTTTATACGAATTCGGATGTAAGTCAACACGTAAAATTTAATTTTCCATATTTGAAAGACGTTAACACATTTTACACAATTAGAAAAAAATGCTACTGTTTGCTGGCGATATTCTTATCTTATCCACATTGATACTATTCATGGAATCAGAAATAATTAATAGGAGATGTTATATCTACTATACATATATCTCCGTTTGTATAACTCTACTGACAATGAGTTTGAAAATTTCCATTCGGAAAAGTAATCTTATCATTTAAGAGGAAGAGCAACTTTAATAAAAATACTTTTGCGCAGTCTGATGAAAAAAGGGTCTTTTTAATGGGAAAATAAAAAATACTTCAATGTTATTTTCTTGATGGCAATAGCGATTGAATTAAATGTTTGAATTATTCAAGGAATATGTTAATAATCAAAAAGATTGATATTGAATAGTTCAGCATTGTCGAATACTATAGTAATTGTAGCGTCCATCTACAGCTGTATATTAAATGAATAGATAAGAACACAGCTCAAATAAATACTTAAACAATGGTAGAATGTATCTGAAATTTTGTTGAGGAAATTCTTTGCAAAGAACATCCGTTGCGTGTTGGCATAACATTACCATAATTTAAGCCAATTATGAACCTGTATTCTTTTATATAAAAAATATACTATCACATATAATTTTATTTTTATATTATATATGTGCACGTGCCAAAAATCTGGATAATTAGATTTATCGCTGCTCGCGTAACGCATTAGTTTTACTTTCTTCTGAAAATGTAAATGCAGATTTTCTACGTTTTTGATATTTGTTTTTATATTTCAATTCAATGTTTATATTAAAAAATCTTTACGGCCGGAGATAAAACGGATAAGCTCGCGAGTTCGAAGAAACGAAAATCGGGAGTGTGAAAGCTCCGCTATTTTTGCCGCAGCCACGCGGATAGCTTCCATAAGGGTCCCAACACACAAAAAAAACAGAGTGTATTTTTATTACTGGCACCTGGGGCGTCAAGCGCTCGTCTCGAATACCAATGGACGGCCCGATACTCTTTTCGAGGGTCATCCGCGAGAATTCGTCGAACTACGACAGCCCCACGAACCAGACGGACGGCATTACGTGCCTCCGTCGCGGTCGCGTTTTTCTTATTTGTATTCCGCGGGGGAGAAAGACGATAGGGCCACCGTCGGTGGAGAAATCATAAAAGAGCTGTGCAGATAAGGCACGCTCACCTTGGCGCATCACTCGAGCTGCCCTATAAAAGAGACGGACACACCTTGCGATCCGATCAAACCGTAACGAAATGTCGCGTCCGATCGTCCTCGCACTCGCGGTCCTGGCCCTCCTGCAGGCGGCTACCGCCGTCGACTTGTCGCAAACGAAAAATGTCCAAGTCGACTTCGCCGAGACGGATATCGTACCGAAAACGGCGCTGGTGAGTTAATAATTTATCACGACTCGGAAATGGCTTTTCGAAAAGACGAAAAGTCGAATGGAGCGCGCTTTAAACCGCGTCAGATCTCAAGGTGGAGCTCTATTTATAATTTCATGTATTGTACTTTCTGGTTTACGCGGCACGTGAAATAAAATCCTATCCTGAACTCTGATACGAATTAGATCATCTAAAAGTAAATTTCATTTTCTTTGAAACAATATAACATATCTCTGATACGAATTAGATCATCTAAAAGTAAATTTCATTTTCTTTGAAACAATACAACATATCTAACGATTGCTGTCTTAATTTTTACATCAGTCTAGTCGAAGAATCTGGAATTGTATTAAAATAATCTATTAATACTTATTTGATATAGAGGAAAACAACGTTCGTCGACCTGGGTCTTTATCTTTATAGTCACCGTTATCAATTTTTAGGGCGCAAGATAATAGGAACTTATAAAATCCAAATAGCAATGCATGTCTAAAAGACATTATAAAGATATCTTTAAGACAACTTTTAGACGTGTTTAAAAGACAACTTAATGCCACCTTAAAGATGTCTTTTAGACATACACGCTATCTGGAAAGTTAATTTATAAATATTATAAATATTATTTATAAATAGAGGAAAGTTTCCTATTATGAGATAGGTGAGATAGGATCCTAATATGAGATAGCGGGGTCTTAGTTAAATTAACAGGCATTGTCAGTTGATTCCATCATGAATTTATTGTCCTTGGAGCGAAATCTGTTCAGTAGAAAATTCATTGGTAGATTGTGTAATTGTTGCGAAAAAAGATTTGTGATTGAATCTGGGTGTTGAAAACCTGCTATCTCATATTAGAAACCTATCTCATAATAGAGGACTTTCATCTATTAATTTTACAAATATTACATTTATTCCCAGTCAGAATAAAAGATTATATGATTAAGTTTCGCGAAGAACATTACTGAGAAAAATCTGTGCCACGTCTGTACAGAAAAGTCTTGTGCCCGAGACACACGCTGCGGCTGGATTCATCGGAAATCTCGAAATCGGAAGACGATATCCCGACGAAACGGTCTTCCGTCGAGTCATCGAGTTTAACAATCCGACAAACAATATTCACTCATCTACCATAACGCTGAGTGTCACAAATGGTGAGAAAATATTAATAAAAATCTATGTAACTTGATTCCAATTGACGAACATTGAAATTAAGGAAGAAGCCAGCCATTAATACTCTATGAATGAAACTTAGAATTAAAAAATATTAAGTGGTTCCTTGTAAGAGCATTCGTTGATATTGAATATTCTCCTTTGTGCAGGAGTTCTTCATTACATTAGCGTGGTGAACGACAATGGCAGCTACGCGGTAATATGCGACGAACCGATGACTCTGGGATCATCCAGAGGCAGCATCAATATTCGCGCCGCAGCCAACACGAAATCCTATCTCACGATCGTCGCGGCAGCGCATTAAACGATGCATTCGTCTGTGGACAACAATAGCATTTATCATTATCGCGCATTTGTAACAGAAGAATAAAAAAATTGCGCCCCTTTATTTCTCGCAAGAGTTTATTAACTGTGACAATTAAGAGACATTTCTGCACCCCTCGCTGTATTCTTGTTCTGCACGAAAATAAAATAGTCTTGAGAGGTCAGGAGCAACATCGTCGCGAATTTACATATATATTCGAACGATAAAAGCATTCTCCTATAAGCTTTATTAACATCTTTTTATAATACGGACACTTTCATTATCAACGTAAAAATAAATTCTCACTGATCGAGTGTGTGCATTAATGGCTCGCTTTTCGTAGAGGCGTGTAAAAATAGTCTGTGAAAGAACGAGGTGTGATAAGTATTGCATAACAAGCACGCCATTGGAAAATCATTCACGCGACTCACGTCTCCGCGCTCCGGCATCGTCACGCGTTACAAATGCAAATTTCGTGAATGCCATTTTTGTGGTGTTACGCCACCACGAAAACATTTTTCCGTGAACCCAAACGCGATCCTTACTTCGAAAAGGTATTCGAAATCTACAAGCGGTGAGCAAACATTTGGCGTGGGAACAGACTTCGACGACACGTGTGAGCCGAATCAACTTTTTTTTTCTAAATAAAACAACATTTTTATCTAATTTAAGATTTAACTTTTAAGAATTTAAGAAGCTTTATAATTTAGAATGGTACCACCCTGTATCGATACGGACACCTCACACGCGGGAAGAAATTCCTACACGAAAACGTATAATACGACGTCGTCAAATTTATTTTACTCTCTCCTTTTGCCGATATTATAATAGATTCGTGAGAACAGGCAAGTTGAGGATTAGATAAAATCACATGCCGAAACCATATCCCAACATTCCGCCAAACCAGCTTTTAAATGCGCCACAAAAATTTTCTTCTTTTCTTATTTGCTTCGCCAATGTGCAAAACAGACACACAACTCGCCACGAAATTCGTCTCTTTGCAAATGATTATAATTTTAAAATTATTTGATGTCATCTGAATTATACATGGCTCGTGTTTATGTACATTGATTTAAAAAAAAGACAAAAGAACATTGTGGCACACAATAATATTTCGGAGAGCAATAGCTTTTAAATATTTTAATTTTATTGTTAGAGTTATTTCATTTATCGTAAATTCGCGCCCGCACATCTTACAATTAGCTCTAATTCGAATTAGCACTGATAAATTGTCACTATCACTGTTATTTCTCTCTATCGTTCTCGTTACGTGGCTAAGTCTCGACTGCCTGACGAAAACGCCCCGCCGCTACAGATTCGTTAATAATGCATGGCCAAAGTGTCCGGCAATTCTTTTCTCTTTCAGCGACGGAATTTTTTAGCGATAGCAAAAAGTATCTGCAAGCTGTGCGCTTTCCACGGTTCTAATAAAATTTTCAACGGTTTGATTCGCTTTGTCTTCTTATTACGAACGGAAGAAGTTTTTTTCTCATACGCCGCGGTTGCGTCTGTTCATCTGCAAGATCTTCGCCGGCGAAAGGAGAGATAAGCGAAACGTAAAAAGTATAGTTCTTCCGATCATTGAACTCGTTTTTGCGCACTCGTCGTTATAATTTATACATCATACCCTTTCGCCAAATGAACACTTTGACAAGACGATAATATTCCATGTTCTTTCTGGCTGCTGCAATATTTACGACGGTGCAACGTATCGCGTTTCAAGAATTTCGTCGGAAGCATGCGTGATAATAAGCCTCAAAAAGTGGGGATAGTATCGTAGACGAAGGAAGACCAGTAAGCCTTTGACCAATGGATCGTTCAAACGAATATAATGGTGCTCTATCTCGATATTAGTTAACAATTTTTACAAAACGTTGATTTAATATAAAATAATATACGTCTTGTCACATAATTTAAGATTACTATCTCAAGTGTCTACTTGTAAGAGAGAAGAGAAAGAACGAGAGGAATAAAAAAGACATTTTGAATCTCGACACTGGCAACGTACTCTTTTCTTAATCACATTGCAGATATGATACCTCGTATTTTATTATTAATTAATCTACTGCTTCCATAACATGGCAATTAGGAAATAAATACATTATTTTTATAGCGTTGAAATTTTTTGTTTTATGCATTTAATATTTTTCTCTGTCTCTCTTTCTCTCTCTTTTTTGAGTCTGTGATCATTAATTCTTGTACAAAAATAATATATAAGTCTGTAAATTTATGTCAATCTTATATGTATAGGTACTTAATATTTTAATTTAGAAAATGAGATTTTTATTTAAAAAATATTACAATTGTGTATGTCTATTGCCTTTAATTTTCAGGATTTGTACTGTAAAGTTATGGAAACATACACGAACTTACAGTCTAGTGTAAAGTGATATTCGCCGCGAATAAAATATTCTTACAATATTTTAATATGAAAAGTTTTAAGAGAAATGTGAAGTAGTTTTACAGTGTAATGTGACATTCAAGTCGTCAAAGGATTCTAATATATGTATATGATTACATAGATTTAAAATGGGCGATTGGTTTGAACCGTTACCTGCTGAAAATCATCGGTTTGTGGCCGGAGGAGACTAACGATCAGCATGCAGAATTATCGTCGAACTTTTGGCTGCTATTGAATATCATCATGTTAATTTTCGTATTGACAATACCGGCAGTAGTGTCGCTAATCAGAGTATGGGGTGATATGATACTGATGATAGATAATTTACAATACACCCTGCCACTTTTCATAGCGATACTGAAAGTCTTCATCATGTGGTACAAGAAAAGAGGTACTTTATCACTCAACGAATTAATTGCCTCAGTCTTTTAGAGTTCTCGTTGTTCTTTTATCGAACTTATATGCAAATGAATTTCCTATTTTTATACAATTTTACCAAATGTTATACTACTAAAATCAACCATCAAGATTGAGGACGCGATAATGCCATAGAAGAATAATTTCGTGTATATAGAAGAAAGTCCTCTATTATGAGATAGAATTTTAATAGGAGATAGTAGGTTTTTAACGTCCAAATTCAATCGCAAATCTTTTTTCGCGACGATTACACGATCTAACAATGAATTATGCAGTAAACAAATGTCACTTCAAGGGCAATAAATTCCTGGTGGAACCAACAGATTATGCCTATTAATTTAGCAGAAACCCTGCTATCTCATATCAGAAGCCTACCTCATGATAGGGGACTTTCCTCTATGTACACCGAAAATACATGATTTTCCTAGCTTTATCGCCGTTGGTTGACATGATTATAAAAGACTGGATGAGAATAAAGCTAGAAAAAGAGCGAAGTGTCATGCTAAAGCATGCCAGAATCATCCGCTCGCTAGCCATATGTGGAATACTCATGATCCTTCTCACATTGATGGTGACCATCAGCTGTTTCTTTTCTGGTCGAACGCTTAGGCATATCACGAATCTTACCGACCCGGCTGGGAAGCCTATGCTGATCCAAACATATTATCTGCACGATATATCCAGCAGCCCGAAATACGAATTAACGTACTTTATACAAATAATCGGACTGTCTCTGTCCGGTCTCTCTTATACCGCAGTTGACAACTTCCTCGGACTTCTGATCTTACATATATGCGGCCAGATGGAAAACCTGCATCTGCGACTATTGAATCTGGGAAAGGATCCGGATTTCAAAGCGGTTTTAAAGTACAACGTGAAAGATCACATCCGCTTGATCAGGTTCTGCGTCAAAAACGCTCACGAGTGTCGTGTTCGAATGGATCGACTGGACTTGATCTTTTCTTTAAAGAAATTCGCTAGAGAATTTATATATCACCACAAAGTTTGATTTGTTAAAAATAAACCACGACTTACAGTTCTAGTTCATGATTTAATTTAAATTTCTTAGAAATAAACCATAAATGTAGAATTTAGAACCTTTGAATATAGAATTGACAATTCTCTGTTATTCCATAGAACGTTTCACATGTGTTATCACATTCTTCATTTTACGCTATATGTAATTTGCAGATGTGTAGAAATTATTGATGACACATTCAATTTAATGCTGCTTGGTCTGTTATTCTTCTTTGCCATACTATTTTGTCTTCAAGGATTTCTAATAATTAACGTAAGTACAAATAATCGTACAGGCGCCATTTTGCTAAAATTAGTGTTGTTAATTAAGTCGATTAATTATATCGACTAAATTGGATGGATGTTGCGTTTATAGTTGTTTTGCTACATAATTTTTCAAGCAATAATTTTCGAAATTCAATCAACAAAATACCTTGATGAAATATATAACATATAGAGAAAAGTCCCTTATTATGGGATATGCTCCTAATATGAAATAGCGGAGTTTCTGCTAAATTAATAGGCGTCATCTGTTGGTTCCACCATGAATGTATTGCCCTTGGAGTGAAATCTGTTTAGTGGAAAATTTATTGTTAAATCGTGTAATTGTTGCGAAAAAAGATTTGTGATTGAATTTGAACGTTGAAAATCTGCTATCTCATAATATAGAATTTTCCTTTATATAGAAAAATTTCTTAACATATTTACATTGATTCAGGTTGTTAATCAAGGTGGTCGCTTGTCGTTCATACAATTTATTTGGTACATATCCGCGAGTGCAGCTGTTTTAATGCATACATGTCTTTATTGTGCGGTCGGCGAACTACTTGTGACTCAAGTAAGTATAACTTTTTTAAAAACAAAATCGTCTAATACTAGGTATAATTTGGAATATTTTTAAAATTTTAACTGCAAATAAAAGATATTTACGAATTATTGCATGATTTTCGGGGAAATAAACTTCTACAAATAATCATATGTTATTGAAGCCATGTAATAATAAATTGCCACAAATTTAGTAGGCTTAATTTGCAGTAAAAATTATGAAAATCGTACGTTCTGCAATTATTAATCAATAGATATGTAAGTTTCAATAAATATAACTTCTCTATAATTAAGTGTGGCATAATTTTAATAATTAATCCCATTCTCCTTCATTCTGAATTAATTCTTCAACGATCAATTAGTGTATGTAAAATGTATATATTTTCTCAGTCGGATAAAGTACACCGCGCCACGTATGAGTACATATGGTACACTTTGGAGCCAAAGGCAGTAAAAGATTTGATGTTCATCATGCTCCGTGCAAAGAAACCACTCAATATTACAGCAGGAAAAACATTCCCGATGACAATGTCCACGTTCTGCAACGTGAGTTCTGTGGAACATATGAAACGTGCAATAATCTTTTCTCTTTTACTGGAATCGTGAGACAATTACGGTGTTTTTGTTTTATATTTTTTAAATATTATGTCCTTAAAGGATCTAATGTTTCAGTTACTAAAAACATCAGCAGGCTATATATCTGTGTTACTTGCCAAACAAGATTAACGATATAATTAGAGGGTAAATTAGTCGCTTGTTCAGTATGTACCAGTGTCAGATTAAAAATATCGTTTATATAAATTTTGTATCACACAGAAAATTGTATTAAAAAAATAGTTTCTTTATACATCATGCTTCTGCAATATTGCAATTTGATGATATTGATTCTTGTGTGCGTAAAGCGTCTCATTAATTATTGAGAGTGGAAACTCATTAATTATTGAGTTTCCTTTCTTTTTAATAATTCTAAAGTTCTTGGTACATTACACAAATATAATCTGGCCTCTAAATTAAAAAGGTTGACAAACTGAGATACCAAGTTCACGTTAAGCCAGAACTGTTTAATGTATCAAGAATTCTAAAACAATTAAAAAGGAAACTGAACAATTAACGAGTTTTTACAAAATGAGATGCTAATCTCACACTTGATTCATTACCTGTCGATAGCATGGATAAAATGGATAATAACGGGATAAAGAAAAAGAATTATATAAGATAATATTTAAACAAGTATATTATTTTCTTATCATAAAAGCTACTTTTTTAATTGTAAATCTGACTGTTTCTTTAGCAGTAAATCTCCTTTGGGTTTCAACTTATTATCCAGAATTTGTTGTCTTTCTTGTTTCTCCTTTTCTTTCAATCTATGATGTCTCTCAACAGCATGATCTATCTCTGATACTAATTTGATAATCTTTGCCTGGAAATCGATGCGGTAAGTATAGAATTTCATAAAAAATAATGATCTCCATTTGTTTTACATACCGCATATTCACGTTGTTTATCCAAGCGTGCTTTTTGTCTTACCCCAAGAGGCGTGGGTTTTCCATCTTTAAATATATAGTCCGGCAAATTTGTCAGCGGACCAAAAGTATTTGGATTTCTCGTTAATCCACGTCTAAAAAGATATGCCAATCGGACTATTATAAATCATACGTTTACCGATATCATTAAAATAACATCAGGCTAAAGTGCGCAGTGACATTCTACGTACAGTTGTGCAACAAACTTAGACACATACATTTTAGACATGCCAGATTAATGTTCATAAACGCTCTATAGTTCTAAACGCGAATAATTTCAAAAATCTTACTTCTGTCTCCACCTTTGGTCCAAGTATTGTACGCAGGACTGATGAAACCCTTTAACCACAATACTGTAATCTGTAACAACGAATAATATAAAAATATCATCGATAATATGTGGTCGCTAATTACGAGAAAGAAGTAATTATGTCATTAGAAACCTAATCAATAGATGATAAACTTGATAACGAGTAAACATTACAAGTACAATAACTTTTTCTTCTTTAATACTAACTTATGTGTTGTTCGACACGAAGTACAGCTCTAGCAGTCGATATCATATTTGACGACAATGTTGTACATTAATTGGATAATAACATTTACTTAATTTCTTCTTGCAAAGCCTGTGAATAGGTTAGGTTAGGTTCCACACAGTAGACCTCACCGCCACTGCTTCTGCAGTGCTACCAATATAAAACGTTTGTTTTTTTTCCAGCTACACTCTCGTACTCCCGTACTTCTCCTTTCCATAATATATCAGCAAAAAGATAATAATATTTTTACATTCATATTATATTCATTATATTCTTGTTCGTTTTTTTTATTATTCTTATATTCTCTAATATTCTTACTTTATACAGAGTGAGGAAAAAGTATGAAAACCCCTAAATTTTTCGAAAACTATGCATTTTAGAAACAAATGTTTGAGACAAAAGTTGTGTGTGGTTTCAAGGGGGTCATAAGATGTCATTGATTTGACCTTGAATAGCTGCTTGAATGTCACGTGGAGGTCACCTTGAATTCTGTAACCGCGGAAACCTCCATTTCTTATTATATCATCTTTTTCTATTAATTAATTGGAACTTTTGCCTGAAACATTTGTCTAATAATTTGTTAGATATTCGAAGAAAACTTGGCAACTTTCTCAATATTCATCATACGATATCTCGAGAACTGTTTATCGTGAGGAAAAATGATACCGGATTTTTTTTTACTTGATTTGGTGTCAAGAATATGCTGTTGCAATAGTACTTCAATTTTAATAAACATTTGTGTATACATGAAAACTTCAAGATGTGTAATTATATATACATATAATTATATATTTGGTACCATAAATAAAATAATAAACCAACATGAGAAGTCACAATCTTCCTTTACTACATATCGATCACATATCAGTTATATTACATCTAAATCTGTCGTTATGTATGTACATTAACAGCTCTACGAGGAGGCACTCAGCTGTATACACCCGGAACGCGATATAAAAACTCCCCGTCGTCGTCGTAATAACAATCGCTGATCCGATACGTCATGCCCGGTTGGTGGAGATGCTTCGCAATCTTTATTGGCTTAGCATAGTTTAGATCTACATCCACTTTCTTATTCCACACTTTGATGCTTGTATCTAATAGATTGTCATCCGCCCCAATAATCTGGAAATCTCTATTCCTATCCTTAGGAAATATAGAAACGTCTTTGTCAGCTTGTCGTACAATTTTCAATGAGGTATCCTCCTTGGCATTAGGCGCCGCACTGTCAAACGCTGTGGCAACCTGCGCAGCTTGCGTACTTTGACTGGCCTCCACCTGCTTCCTGTACACGTTCATTAGAGTGACACCTTCTTCCGGAGACTCCTGGTTTATATCCTTCAGCTTCGCCTTCACAAATTCATCGAACGTAAGTCGTTTTTCTTCCTTCTTGTCAAATTGCACATCCAATTTCTTCTGTTCTGAATTCGTACGCAATTGCTTCTTGTTTAAGAAAAATTTCTCTTTCACAGCAGCGGGACTGTCGGTCGTGGCACTCGCAATCAGTAAATTCTGATTTTTAGACTGTCCTGCCAATTTGCCCGAATTATCTTCTTGCGGTAACAATTTCGCGTCGCTTTCTTTTCCATCTAGATAAGTCTGTATAATACTAGAGAACAACTGGCTCCTTGGTTTCTCAAACTCCCGCTTGCAGACAAACTGCTCCGCCAATGAATCTCTATCTGTCCGAATAATTTTCCTGTCCTTGAACTTCGTCAGATGCTCGCCGAGTGCGGGACTCAGAACAAGGTTACCCGCCCGGAATTTCTCCCAATTTGCAATCGCCACGTTGTCGTACTGCATAACCTTGTCCACGGATTTCGGTGACCACTTGGCGCGCAAAATCATCCGTATTGTCTCTGGCAAGGCAGGAAAACTCTCGCTGAGCTTCTCCGCCGTCCACTCGTCGGGATTGTGATTGTGCAATTTACAAATCATCTTCCTTTCCGCGAATGTGATAAAACGCGGTTCTCTCTCCTTGAAATACTTGTGCGCGACGATTCGGCGTTTAAGATGCTCTTTCTTGCTTTGCATCTCTCTGAAAGATTGATAGATTTAATAGATCAGTTTGACATGTTTCATTATAGTCAACGTGGTTGCAATTCCCAACAATTGAGCCTAATCTACAACGTGTTTTTGTAGTGAATAAATACGTTTAAAAAATTTGTGCAAGTTTATAATTGTACATTATACACTGTACAATCGTACACTGTCGACAAATTTTTTAAGCGCTTTGATTTGTTATATAAAATACAATGTTTCTGGATGCAGAAAGCGCATTGTAGATTAGGCCTTAATAATTAATGTAGGCAAGCAAAGGTCAGGTTAGGTTACGTGAAGCAAAGTTAAATATTGTCATACAAAAATACATATTTATACGCGAAATTGTATTACAATTGAATGCGCTGCAGAGAACCTTGGTGCAAGCGCAGACACCAACGTACCTCTCGTGCATCTTGTGGCTCACACCAACATTCATAAAGTCCGCTTCGAACTCGCTTACGTCTTCCGCGTCGAAATGATCAACCGGTTCATCCTGTTTCATCACTTGCATTTTGTTGCGAATACCGGCGAGCGGCCGGGACGCTGCTCTCCTGCTAAACATTCTGCGTAATATCGTTGTCATCGTCCTGATCTCGCTCATCGTGGAGCCCAACGTGGCTTCTATCCTCTGATCTTCTAACAGTTCTAACCTGTGCGCGAACAACGTAAACAAATCCCTGATGCCGAGCCGATGGAGCTACACGCGCGTCATCTAGGCTAATTAAAGCCCAACTCCATATACAGGATTTTACATTATCCACGCAAATATCTCATTTTACATTATCCACGCAAATATCTCCAAAAATATGAAAAATACGGAAAAACGTTTCAAACAACAGTTGTTTGGTTCGAAGGGGGACATAAGGTGGCGCCATTGACTTGACCTTGGATAGTCATTCGAAGGTCACGTAAAGAACACCTTCAATTTTTTTAAATGGAACCCCCTATTATTTATTATACTAATTAATATGAACAACTTTTGTCTGAAACATTTTTTTATTTGCCTAATACTTTTTGAGATATTCAAAAGAAAATTTATAACTTTTTCAATGTTTAGCTTATGATATCTCGATAACTGTTTGTCAGAGGGAAAAGCAGTACAGGACATTTTTTTAACTTGATTTAGTCTCAGGAATATGCTGTTGCAATTAAGTGCTCCAATTATTGAAAATTTTTGTGTATGTAAATTTTATGTGTTACAATGTAAATTTTATATATTAGGACCATCGCACACACTTTTGCATAAGTGCATAAGCATATGCATAACGAATTTGATTGGTCTATAAGCAAACGCATAAGGAAATGGACCAATCAAATTCGTTATGCATATGCTTATGCACTTATGCAAAAGTGTGTGGTCCCCTTAAGAAAATCAACAGATTGGATTTGCTGCTCGCGTATATTGCCTTGCGTTCTCGACTGTGATTGGTTACCACTACAGTGGTAGTGGGGGAACAACAGTGCTGCGCCCTGCCTCGTGACCCGCTCAGGCCCTAAACTCTTGAAAGTTCAGGTGGCGCAAAGAGCGAACTCCTCGAGTCCCCCCGCGTGCGCGCACGCGACAGCCGTTGTTCCCTAGCGTCACTCTCGGTGTGCGCGTGAAAAGGAGCAGGCGGGTAGGAAAAATGGCGGACGAAAGTGAGGATCAGTGGTTATATGGAGATTCGACCGACGGCAAGGAATACACGCCGACTAACGTTCAATTGGAGGTTCAGCAGAATGACTCGATACTCGCCGAGACTCAAGAGAACTCGCACCCTCCGGAGGATCAGAAGGTGGAGGGTGCTGATGAAACGCCGTCCGAGGTAACGCGCGCGACCTAACCTCTCTCGATCGTTTACGATCGATTCTCCGCGGAGTAGCATGCACAAATTTACATTCGTTTCGATTTCGAAGACTCGGTCCACTTGATATCTCATGTCACGTACGATTCTTCGATTAAATGTGCACGTTTGCTTCGATGGTGTGACATAACCTGTTCGTGGCACTTGAAAATAAACAATAAGGACCCGAGCAGAATGACTGGCTTGTGTTCTTAAGACTTTTTATGTTTTAAGTCTTCGTTCGAACTTTCGAAGTAACACACAGTGACTCCTGTGTTTCAAGTCGTGAGGACCTTAGCAGAGTAGCTATCTTGTACTCGTAAGACACAAGACAGTTATTGTGCGTCACTTTAAGACAAAGCTTTAAAACATTGGGTGTTTTCCAGTAAGAGACACAGTGTAGTACAAATAATCATTTCATCCTCGTTTAATATTGGCAAACAACAATGATAAAACGATTCACTGTGTTACACAGTGTCGTCTGTGTACATTACTGGAAAGCACTCGACTTAAGAGTACAAGATAACTACAATCCTAAGGATCTGAGCAGAATGGGCTTGTACTTTTAAGACACAAGACAGTCATGGTCATTTTGCTCAGATCTTAAAGGTACAAGTAGAAGAGAAAGAGAAACACATTGATCGTGAGCCATAGTTTGTGTAAATTGTACCTTTATCCATTTCTTTTGTCCGAAAAGTATTTAGCCTTTTCGCACATCTCAGTATTGTTTTTAAGTCACGTGTGTTTTTCTGCACAGATGCAAGAGGTCACCGACTCCCTCGGCGGTGGTGACGAAGAATCCTCCTCGTTGAATAACGCGCAGGAAGAGAACGCGGACGCGAACAAAAATGGCACGAGGGACGCTTCTAGTCAGGAGGACGGCGAGGCGGCCAGCGACTCCGATTCCGATGACGACGTACACGTTGTTATCGGTGATATCAAATCAACGCCGGCGTACGGCAATTTAAATATTAAGAGAGGCGGACTGCTGACCAACACGACCGGTGTATCGGACAAGCTCAGCAAGCAGTCGGGAAAGTTCAGTATAGATGAATTCGAGACGATCGGCGTTATCAACGGGATACCGGCCCACGAGTTTAATTTGGATCAAATGGAGGATAAGCCGTGGAGACAGCCTGGCGCGGATATCACGGACTATTTCAATTATGGCTTCAACGAGGACACCTGGAGAGCGTATTGCGAACGCCAGAAGCGGATGCGAAGCGAATCTGGCGTGGGATTGATCTTGAACGCGGGCGGCGGCGGCGGCAATCCGGGTGGTATGCGGATGCCTCAGGTGGCGATAACCAACGACAACAGCAAGTACTCCGGCATTATGGGTCCTAAGAGGGCAGGCCCGCCGCCCGGAAGGAAAATGGCAGGGACTATTGACGTTATAGGAAGCTCTGGCTTAGCCTCCAGAAGAAATCTAGATAAATCCCCACCAAAGGGAAACGTTATACAGGTCATGACTGCCGACAGGAGGGAGTATTCGAGAAAGCCTGGTTTTCCAGACATGAGTGTACCACCTCCCGGAGCAGGAATGCCGCCACCGCCGTTTGATATGCCTCCGCCGGGATACGCTGGAGAACCGACGCCGTTCTACATGCCGGAAGCCGACCCATATTATCAGAGTTACGAACCCACGCAGGACAACCAGTGGGGCAATGATCCCGTAAGAAAACACTGTTTAGAAATGATTTGAGTAGAATTACCTAATGTCATATGTATAGTAATTTTTAAGCTATATAATGCTCGATAATCGATTTTATATTCCAGACCGTCTTAAGATCATCTTCAGATACTTGGTGGTCAATGAAATGTTCCATACAGCATCTTTTGATAAATTCAAAACGGTCTTGAATATAAGATCTGACTATGAATGCCGGTCTATAAATTTGACAGTGCACTGACACTATTCTGGAAAAGTAAAGCTAAACTTATCCTTTCTTTTTTTGTCTTTTGTCAGACATGGCAGCCGACAAATCTGGCGATCCCGATGACTGAAGGTGAAGACGACAAAGACATGGGACCTAAGACGATACCTACGATGGTTCCACCCACATCCATTCCTCCTTTAATGCAGCGCGATCAGAGGGAGGGCAGAGACCGGGAGCGAGACAGGGACAGAGATCGGGATCGAGAATTGGATTCTATGAGTAGAGATAGGGACAAGGACAGAGACCGCGATCGTGATAGGGAGAAGGATTCCATGATGAGGGACCGCGATAGAGACAGGGACTCTTCTATGACGCGAGATGAGGATCGAGAGCGCGATAGATCCAGGTCTCAGTATCGACATAAAGACCGGTAATAATCTGTTTTTTCCTTTATCCAGAATTCTATTGTACATCAGATGCTACGTATGGTATAATTTTTATTATACGTAAATATATGCTAATTCATTTCGATATCTTTTAGACATCGGCATCGATCAAGGTCACGATCTCGCAGGCACAAGTCGAGATCGCGAAGTCCCAGTCGGCGTAAGAAGAAATCTAGACGCTCGGATAGAGAGCGTTCCAAGGAAGAAAGTGAATAAACATATGCACGCGTAAAACCTTACTGTGTTAATTTACAATGTCGGAAGGCATCTTTAGAATCAAGCGACAAGATTTAATATTCCCATTGTTATCGAGAAGAATGCACGTATCGGTAAAGTTATTCACGAAGCTAATTGTAAGATATAGAAATTATTAAGTGTCATATACAAGAAATAAAGTGTATATCGATTCTCGCGGGAGTTACAAATGATGTAATTTTGGACACGAGTAAGTTATTAATGCAAACAATAAAGGCTGGCTGAATTTATAGATTGAGGGGAGATCACAGATAGGAAAGATAAAAATCCTACGTTGTGTTATGTTTAAAATCTGTCTTTTAGAAGCAAGATATTGTTTATTTTGTTGTCGTGTCCTAGCACAATGTGAAATTCTGTTATTTCATCATTTAATTTCCGCGTGCAAATGCGATCGAAGAAGAGAATATGATGAAGCTATATTTTAAAGAGATTTTTATACTCTGTCAATGCGGAAGTTAAGGCAAGACCGCCGAGCTTTGGGTTGAAATTAGATTTAAATAATATCGCTCGAAAATATTAATAAAATCAGAGTTAAATAGAACCATTACGATATAAATCAAACAAGCGAGAGTGCCCTTAGGTCCTGGCAAGATGTTCCTAGCCCAATAATTGTAATCTAAATTTTCTTTACAATACGGGGAGGGGAGGTATTGAATGCTAAATATATAGCATTTTAAAACAATTAGAAGTCCTTTATCGATTTTATTATGTAAATTTACTGACGACAATGATTCTATCTAAATGAAACTGTGTTATGTCCGAAAAGAAACCGGCGCGCAGGACAAGTGGAAAACGGTATATGAATTGACATTTTGAATTGCAATTATTGGGCTACCAACGTCTCGCTCGGACCTAAAGGCGCTCTCGCTTGTTTGTCGTCTATTTGAATGTCGCGCAGTCGCGCTTGTAACCGTCTGCTACCATTTGCACTACTGCGCATGTGCGGAATTGATTCGGCCGTTTAGCGTAGTTTAGCGAGAGATCATCTGAGCTGGTTGAGATTTCTTCACCCGAGGGATAAACTGGTACGCAATTTTCCGTAACAATTACACGCGATAATTATAACTGTACAATTCGATAAACGCGGTAATAAAGCACTTGATCGCGATCTCCATTTGCAATCGAATATCTGCAGAGGAGCGCGATTCATGCAAATATAGCTCGACCGAGAAGTTGGGTTATGTTTCTGAATGTATGTACATTAACGGCTACGAAATAATGATGTATTTCCAAACATAAAAGGCATTTTTTATGAAAGTGATAAATTTGTTTGTTACGTAACATTGTCGTGTCAGATATGTGACAGATAAAAATTGTTAGCAAAGTCTACGTTACGTTAATGGTTTATTAACGGTCTCTCTCGACAGCGGTACTTATTGAATTTTTCTTTTTTCAGAGCCTGTCTTGTTGCGTTTTTGGAGCCGAAGATGCCGAAGTCGAAAGAATATCTGTCTGACAGCGACGACAGCAGCAGCGAGGAGGTATTATTTTTAAACATTCGTATCAGTTTCTGTAATATTGTATGCCTGCGTTATTTTCTATTCCGCAGGAAGTAAAGTCGAAGAAGAAAACGCCGAAGAGAGGCAGGGATGTAGATGATAAAGCGGCGAAAGACGAGACGAAACCAGAGAAGAAAGCAAAAACTGATGACGACAGTATTTGGGAGTTGGGTAACAATCGTCAAGTAAATGTAAGAAATTTCAAAGGCAAATATTACGTCGATATTCGAGAGATGTATTACGACAAGGATGGCGATTTAAAACCTGGGAAAAAAGGTAACGCGTCTTTGCAAAGACAATGGATAATTTTTTTAATCAATTTGTGAAACAAGAAATTTTATCAAAAATATTACAATATTTTTACGATTTTTATAGGTATATGCTTAACTATGCCACAATGGCGAAAGTTCATGGAGGTTGTGGAAGAAGTGGATAAAGTAGCGAAGTCAAAGTGTTAAAGTTGTAATTCTTACGAATTCTGATTGAAAAAAATGCTTTTCTTTCATTTCGTTTTGTATTACATTCACAGGTTTTTCAATTTGCGAATTAGAAAAATATGCAACTGTTGTGTATTTTTTTTAAGTACCAGATTATAAGTTATTCTGTGAAATTAAAAATTGTATAACATGTAAGTGTATTATTTCGAAAATATACCTCAAAGGAAAAAATGTATTACCAGAGAGAAACCTTCTCTCTGCTTGCAGCTTTTATGGAAAAAGCTGCAAGTTAATTGGCTACACATTTCTCGAAATTACAACTTGAACAAAGTTGTAGCATCGTGGACACGAGCCTTGAGTGAAGAGGATAAAGTTCTAGTGACTACGATAAGTTTTAGCGTCACCGCGCAAACGCTTTGCGCGTTCAATCGCGACCACGTGTCTAGCCGTATTTAGTTCATAGTTGATAAATAAAATTTTCATTTACTCATTCGCTAATAAAAATGCACCAAATTTATATTTAAATAAGTGTTTAATAAATTTAAACGCATACAGCATCTTTCGTATTTAATACAATTCTGATCCTCTTTATTTTCACAAGTCACAGTTTGAATAATAAAGTTAATCAACAAGTATGTACAAAGTAACATTTTCAAATATATTTTCAGACTCTGGAAGGCGACTTTCTCTTGAAAGTCGATGGTTGAGAAATATAAAAGAGACTAGACGACTATACAGTGATCCTGCGCCTTTGCGTTAATTAATTTTAAGATCGTCGCCATTCTCCCTCCTGATCCTACGTCGAAGGTCCGTGGGAAGGCGGTTCCCTCTGGTCTATTGTACAGCAGCTGCATGCTCTGCTCCCATTTAATAGGTGACACGATTTGCTTGATCAAATATTTTCTAATTAACCTGGTATTGCCGTACTCGTGCCCCTTGCAATTGGACAAGACTCTGCATCTAAAGTCATCGAATTCTATCGTGTAGAGCATCTTGCCGAAGGACTTGAGCGTCGGTTCCATCAGCTTCGTGTGGAATGCACCCGACACCGGTAGCCTGGCTAACTTGGAAAACCCGTACTTGTTCGCGTTCTTCTCTATGTACTCGAGAGCCTGAGTATTCCCAGCCAGGATCTTGGATTGAGTGTGCAGATATATCGCCACCCTGCAACAATTCTTTCTGTAACATCTAACGTAATATCACATATCTCTTAGGTGTTAATAAGCTATCGGGCTCAAATTTACAGTAATTCAATTCGATTACACGAATTATATTAATGTGCAACAAGAGAGCATAATTGACGAATGGAGGAAACGACTCTTACTGGCAAACTGGCACCTCTACGCCGCAATCCTGCGCCCACTTTTGCGCGTCGTTGCATGCCTGTGATACTTTAGCCTCCGGAGTACAATAGACGGATAGCATTCCCTGAGGACACTTGTCGGAGGCGTACTGCATCGCGTTGCCTCTCACGGCGACCAATCTTATGCCGTCCTCGAAGGATAAGGCGCCTGAGAAGATCAGGGCGGTCAGTTCCCCTACGCTATAGCCCGCGGCGACTTTACACGTTTCGAATACCCTGGGCCTCTCCTCGCGCAGCTGCTCCAGCGCAGCCAGCGAACTCACCACCGTGGCAGGCTGATTGAAGCGGGTCTGATCCAGCTTTTCCTGCGGGCCTTGCAGGCAGAGCTTCAGCAGATTGTAGTCCAGAATCTCGTTGGCTATCTCAAACAGTTCTCTCGCCTGCGGAAAGCGCAAGTACTTCTGCACCTTGCCGACCTTAAGGGTGCCCTGTCCTGGAAACAGCACGATGCAGGTGTCTAACGGGTCGATCTGAGGCTTGGCAACCTCCTCGACGGAGGTCGGGACGTCGGCCGGGTAAGGGCTCGTCGACCAGCTTTTATCGTTGGCGTCGCTGTAAGTGGCAGCGTCCTTCAGAAGGCGGGACACGTTCTCCTCGCCCGAAGGAATCTCGACGTCACTGGCAGCAGGCCTGTCCCTCGGCACGCCGGTATGCGACTCACCGCCGCTCTCATCTCGCGCGGCAGCGGAGTCGGAGAATTTGTTTACCTGTTTCAGAGACAACAAGCGACTTAGGCAGGAGGCCGTTCTGCCGGTCAGAGCTCGTTGGAGCATCGTTCGTGACAGCATCGCGATTAACGGCGCTAATTCAGATTATGCGACTCGAGACCAACTCCATTCGCGGTTATGGCTGTCAGGTTATGGTTGTCATGGGTTCGAACGTTGGCTCGCGATCACGTGTGCGGTGTGCCGCTTGCTTGGTCTTCGCGCACGTCCCGCGGCTCGTGTCGACCTGAGGGTGCTTTCACATGGAGCGTAAGTTGCGTAGCGTGCGTAACCTGCGTATCGCCAATCACAGGACTAGTTCAACGGAATTATTGAAACGGTTCTATCAGCATGATCCTGTGATTGGTGATACGCAGGTTACGCTACGCAATTTACGCTCTATGGCCGGTATTCATAGTCCGTTCTTATATTTAAGATCATCTTAAGTATACTCTTAATGTGTTTTCAACCAATCACAGAGCCGTATTAGCGTCTTAAGACAACACTTAAGATGATACTGAAATAAGAATCGACTATGAATACCGGCCTATGTGAAAGCACCCTGAAGATTCGCTCACACTTGACTGGAAATGAGCGTATTTTAAAATAACTTCTATTTGCAATCGTTTGTATTTCGTGTGATGACGTTTGAAGTGCAATTGAAAAGAATTGCGAGTCACTCGTTTATTTGTAGTTAATTAATTACTTTTCTGTCTAGCCGGAATAGATAAATTGAACAAAGTTCTTATAGGAATCGTTTGTACTTTGTATGAAGAGTTAAGCCCATCACACAATGCCAGGCAACAGGCAACAGGAACAGGGAATAGAATTTCTAACGCGTTGGATTGGTTGGAAGAAAATTTCCGACGAATCCAACGCTTCAAAAATTCTATTCCCTGTTCCTGTTGCCTGTTGCCTGGCATTGTGTAATAAGCTTTATGAGACACGGAAAATCGCGAGGATTCGGTGATCACGTGACGATATCGATCGCTGTTCACACTATCGATTGTTCACAGAGTCCCTGCCGGAAATAATTCTACAAAATTGTACAAAAAATTAAATATAACTGCCAGCATCTAAGAAATTCTACGTAAATTTAAAAAGTGTTAGGCCCGGTTTCACCAACGCGAGTTAATCTAATCGGTCGGTTAACTTTCAGGGTGCCAACAGCCGAACATAAAATTGATACCAAAAAATTAGATTAATAAAGAAGTTTTATGTTGGCACCCTGAAAGTTAACCGACCGATTAGATTAACTCGCGTTGGTGAAACCGGGCCTTAAGGCCTGTGTCCACGATGCTAGAACTTGGACCAAGTTTTAGCATCGTGGATATTGGGCTTTAGAAAAGTCAATCAATTTATAGAAATATTTTCCGCTAGGGTTGATCGCGGTTTCTTCCCGTACTTGTCGCAAACGCGTATCAAGAATCATCCCAGCAAACACAGTAATGTAACATATATGTATAAAATACATAATAGCAAGTATCACGAGGTAACGAGTTATGTAACAAGTAACATACATGTATGTTACCTGTACTACAGAATGTCAGCAACAAAAGTATGTCTCTGATATATTTATGATATGTAATCTTGCTAATATAGCGACGATATAACCCGAGT